AACTCATGTCTTTGATTTGTTATTACTTCTCTTGTATTAGTTTTAAAAAAATATATTTTTATTGATTTCAGAGAGGAAGGAAGAGGGAGAGAGAGAGATGGAAACATGAATCATTGACCAGTTGCCTCCTTCATGTGTCCTGACCGGGAATTGAACCATGACCTCCTGCTTCATAGGTCAATGCTCAACCACGGGACCACACTGCCTGGGCTTGGACAATTTCTTCCATTTGAACTTTTTTATTAGTTGGATGTTGGACTAGTAGCTTCATGTTAAAATGTTAGACTGATTAGACGATTAGATTGATCCTATAGTTTACTTATTTCTTTCTTAGGGTAGAGTCCCTTATTTTTGAATTCTCCTGAGAGTAAATCTCTAGTCTTCTGCTGGTTGGAGAGGGATAGCTGCCTGGCTGTGCTTAGTTTTGGTGGCCTAAGTGCTTTTTTTAATACTGGTTTTCAGCCAATCCTGTTCTTTGTTCATTGCCATCTCTAATTTTAAAGGTACTGATGCTCCTATTTCATAAGCCTTTTCAAGTTATATGTGGCAAAAGCTTCTCCTTGGCTTTCTTTTGCAGATGCTTGGTTTTTGTTTTCGTTTTTTGTTTTTTTTTGCTTGCTGGGTTATAACATGTACAACCTGCTTTCTCTTGGCCTGTCTGTCCTCTTAGGATTATGCCTTTGTGTTCGTTTGCTGTCTTTTTAGTGGAGTTTTGATAGGGAGCTTTTAAGTGTAATACTACTATTATTTCTGTTATAATTGTCTCTTGTTAGCCAGACTTCGTTTGTCATTGGACTGAAGTTTTGGCGTTGATTGACAGTACTCTTCAGTCAAGTTTGATTAAAGCCTTGTTGTGTTTAATTTAAGTATATGCCATCTATGTTTTTATAGGGCATGGTTCTTAAGTGATATTTTTCTTGTGACCATTGTGATATATTGCATTGCAAATGTTTGAAATAAATGGTTTACATTTTGAAGTTACACATGGTAATCCTTGAGTCTGTCAGCTGAATAAAAAGAAGTGTAAGGCTTTGTGTTTTTACTATGTGTTTTTACTAGGTGTACTGTGGTTAATAATGGTGGATTTTGTGATCAAAGAAAACACGATAATTTCAAGAGAAATATCAAAAGTGCTTTATTCAAAGTAATGTCCATTGCTAGGTATAAATTTCCCCCATCTTTCAGGTAATTTAATTTGTGGATACCATCCCAATAGAACTTTTCCTGTTTTGAGGCAAACCATTCAGAGATCCAATTTTCCACTTCTTCCTATGTTTTTAAGTGCTACTCAGAAAGTGCGTGTGCCATCTATCGGAACAAGTGGTAATCTGAAGGAGCAAGGTCTGGTGAATACGGTGGGTGGGTTAATACTTCACAGGCAAGATCTTTTAACGCGTCTTTAATTGGTTTTGAAGTGTGTGATGGTGCATCATCATGAAGCAAAATTACTTTGCCATGTCTTCTGACACATTCTAGTCGTTTCACGATCAAAGCGTGGTTCAAACTGATTACTTGTTATCAGTAGCGTATTAATGGTTTCACCTGGTTTTAGAAGCCCATAGTACACCACACCTTTCCTGATCCCACCAAACGCAGAGCATTGTCTTTTTTTCTGAAGCGACTTGGCCTTGCAGTCAATGTTGATGGTTGACCTGGATTAACCCATGATTTTGCGCATTTGGAATTCTCAAAATAAATCCACTTTTCATCGCCAGTCACAATTCGATGCAAAAAAGACTTCCTCTCGTGCCGTTGAAGCAACATTTTACTGATGACTTTTTGGTTTTCCATTTGTCTTTCGTTCAGTTGATGTGGCACCCATTTTCCTTCCTTTAAAATCTTTCCTGTTGCTTGTAAATGATCGGAAATGGTTTGCTGAGCACCGCTTAATCTTTCTGCAAGTTGTTTTTGAGTTCAACACGCATCTTCATCCAATAATGCTTGTAATTGTTGGTCTTCAAACTTTTTCAATTGACCTGGATGTTCTTTGCCTTTCACATTGAAATCATCACGTTTAAAGCGTTTAAACCAGTGTTCACAAGTATCTTGAGATGGAGCACGTTCACCATAAGCTTCCCGAAGTATACGATAACTTTTTCTTCAAAATAAAGTAATGAATTAAAACTTCCCGCAAATGCTCTTTTTTTGGCACAAAATTCAACATTTGTAAGCGTAAAAATATCTATGATGTTAACACCTTCAGCAAATTTGACATACGAAGTTTTGAAGCTTGCTGTCAATACAACAAAACAGCGTACATATCAAATCGCATATATATAGCCCTAATTGGTTTGGCTCAGTGGATAGAGCATCAGTCTGCGAACTGAAAGGTCCCAGGTTTGATTCTGGTCAAGGGCATGTACCTTGGTTGTGGGCACATCCCCGGTAAGAGGTATGCAGGAGGCAGCTGATCGATGTTTCTTTCTCATCGATGTTTCTAACTCTATCCCTCTCCTTTCCTCTCTGTAAAAAAATCAATAAAATATATTTTAAAAATAGCATATATATCAACATATGTGTAACTCCATCTATCAAAAAAATACGCATTATTAACTGGTACACCTAGTATAGTATTAGGGCTGGTTAGGTTGTTAGAGTATTATATGCATGAAGCCAAACTCATGGCTTTTATTTCTGTGTGAGATAGCTTTGTCTTATTCCTTGGCCAGACCCTGATTCTGCTGACTGTCGTTTTCACAGCTAGCTATGTGCCAGTAATCAGACTGGTTGGGAAAGCATGACTGGATCTGTGCATCATTACTAATGGAAATTTAGCTTGAAGTACTTTGAATGCAAAGCAGATTATTATGCAATGGTGATCATTGTATTGGATAGTAAAGATTATTGAGAGGGCTTCTATTTCTTCTCCCACTTCCTTTACTAGTCCTCTCCACTTGCTTCAGCCAAACTGGCTTCCTTATTGTTCCTCAAACACTTGGCATGCTTCTTAACTTAGGGTCCTTGGTCTTGCTACTCCCTCCGTATATTGCTAGGGTAACTGCTTTATTTCCTTCACATCTTTGCTCAGATTTCAACTTTGTCATGAGGCTTTTTGTGACTAATTAATACTTCAATTTACCCTCATTATGCTCCTTGCGAGACCTTTTAAATGCTTTTTAAAATTTCTTCTACAGGATTTATCACTTCAAAATTTACATATTATGTTTATTGTGTGTCTTCATCCACTAGAATATAAGTTCCGTAAAGGCAAATATTTTTGTTTTACTCATAGACATATCTCAAGCACCTAGAATAGTAGCTGACAGTTAGAAGCACTGGAAAGATTTGAAAGAAAGGCATTTTAATATTCATCCATTTGCTTCCAGACAACCCTTTATCTAAGCCACCCTCATTGTCTTCTACACTATAAAATCTGAAAATAAATTTTTTCTCTTTATAATTTTTCTGGTTAGCTCTTAAAAGAAAAGTTTCTTTGAGGGTATGATAAAAGAAGCTGAAGAATTAGAAATGTGTTCAACTCTGCATATGAACTTATGTGTGTTTCTACCAAGCTTTCAGATATTTCACGAGTGGAAAATTTTGCTTTGGCTATAGGTTTATCTTTGTCTTCAATTGTATCCTAGATCACAAGAGTTGAAAACATTTTCTTCACTTATTTATAACATATGCACCCCTCTCCATTTTTTTAAGCACCTTAAAAAAAAATTGATTTTAATCAGAGAGAGGAGGTGGGGGAGAAACATCGATATGATGTTTCACCCATTCACGCACCCATTAGTAAGTTCATTGTATGTGTATATCACATTTTTTAATCCATTAATCTTTTGATGGTTGTTTCCACCTTTTGGGTATTGTGAATAATGCTGCTGTGAACATTTGTATGCAAGTATCTGTCTGAATCCTAGCTTTCAATTCTTTTGGGTATATACCTAGAGAAGGAATTCCTGGATCATGTGGTAATTCTTTGTTTAATTTTTCTCCTAACTCTTGATACAGTAAAATATAGTAGTGTATATTCAAAAAGGAAAATTACTTTGAGTTCAAATAACTATGTCACAGTCCTTTTTATTACGTTGTCAGTGAAACTGGAAACTGCCTATATGCAGGGGTGGGAAACCTTTTTCTGCCAAGGGCCATTTGGATATTTATAACATCATTCGCTGGCTATACAAAATTATCAACTTAAAAATTAGCCTGCTATATTTGGTCAAACATTTAGTTAGCTCACCCCTAATGCCTTGGCAGGGCCAGACCAAATGATTTCTCAGACCTTGTATGGCCTGGTGGCCGGACATTCCCCACCCCTGTTTTATAGAGTGTGAAAGATGTACAATATCAGCTTCTGGAAGATAGGGGGCCTTGATCCATGATATTATCTACAATGCCAGGTTTGATGTGAGCATTCAGCCAAATCGGCCAATTTATCTCATTACTTCCTACGTTATTACATTCTATGTTACATTTCAGTAAATCTAATATTATAATCCGATCTTTCCATGTTATTCCTTTATAATCTTCCATGTAAAACTTTTCTCCTTTTGAAAAATTATAGTCTCTTTTTCAAAATAGCCTCTGAATCCATTGTTTGCTTGACATTTTTATTAAAATTTAAAATTTTTTGGTACATTTTCTAATTTCAGGAATTATGTTTCTTTTGTACTATATATAATATTTATTCTCATGTCTACTTTTGGTCTGTATTATTTTATATTTTGAGGTCCTTGAGGATATGGAGTACATCTATGTGCTTAGTTTTCTCAAGGTATATAATGTACAAAGTGTAAATTCATTAAATGTTTTTGAATGCCTGGTTCATTTAAGGTAGGTACAATAACAATTAAATAATAAAGTTTAAAACTTCCAAAAATCATCATCTCATTCCATACTTTAAAATGTTGACAAGTTTTAGTTTTGCCAGATATTTATTGAAAGGAAATTTGAACTCTAGGCCCAGAATAATTTTTGTATTTAGCAAGTATGATGTAGAGTCAGAGTACATGAATCTATCTTTTCCTAAATAATTTTTCTTTTCTTTTCAGATTGTTGCCAGCAAAGGAGGTTTTGAAATGGTCACCAAAGAAAAGAAATGGTCTAAAGTGGGTAGCCGCTTGGGATATCTCCCAGGAAAAGGAACTGGGTCTCTTTTAAAGTCACACTATGAAAGAATTCTCTACCCATATGAGCTTTTCCAGTCTGGTGTCAGCCTTATGGTGAGATGCATCATTTTTTTTTTTTTTTTGGAGTGGATAAATCCAGTCTGCTATGTATAAACTTTAGACTGTGTTCACCATAAGATAGCAGTTGACTGTGCATAGAAAGTTGAAAAAGATTTCTCCATGTACCAGAATTTTGGGGAGCAAGGTGTAGTTTAAAAATCAGCTATTTTTGGTGGTTTACAAAATAAAAGCTAATGGGAATGAAGGCTGTTTTTCTTATTTAAAATAAAGTCCTGTATGCTTTTTGAAAAATTCCTTTTTTAAAAAATATATATATTTTTATTGATTTCAGAGAGGAGGGAGAGGGAGAGAGAGAAATATTGAAATATCAATGATGAGGGAGACTCATGACTACCTCTTGTACGCCCCTTACTGGGGATCGAGCCCACAACCCAGGCATGTGCCCTGACCAGGAATCGAATCCAGGACCCATATTCCTCAGGCCGATGCTCTGTCCACTGAGCCAAACTGGCTAGGACAAATTCCTCCTCTTTGTTTTATGTATTTTTTTAACAGCTTTATTGAGGTATAATTTACATACCATAGAATTCACTCATTGGAGGTACTCTGATAGTAAGCTTTAATGAATTATACAGCACAATCTAGTTTTAGAACACTTCCATCAGCCTAAAAAGTTTCTTTGTGTTCATTTATAGTTGGTTTCCACTTCTACCTCCAAACCTAGACAATTCCTGACCTATTTTTTGACTTATAGTTTTGCCTTTTCTAGAAATTTCACATAGATGGCATCATACAATATGATTTTGTGTCTGGCTTCTTTCGCTTAGACCAGCGGTTCTCAACCTGTGGGTTGCAACCCCTTTGCGGGTCGAACGACCCTTTCACAGCAGTCACCTAAGATCATCGGAAAACACATATATAATTACATATTGTTTTTGTGATTAATCACTATGCTTTAATTATGTTCAATTTGTAACAATGAAATTGGGGGTTACCACAACATGAGGAACTGTATTAAAGGATAGCGGCATTAGGAAGGTTGAGAACCACTGACTTAGACTAATGTTTTTAAGGTTCATCCATGCTTTAGCATGTATTAGTACTTCATTCCTTTCTATGGTTGAATGATATATGGCTATACCACATTTGTTTATCCATGTACTAGTTGATGGACAGTTGGGTTCTTTCCAGTTTAAGGTTATTATGAATAATGCTGTGAAATCAAGTACAAGTCTTTGTGTGGACATATATTTTCATTTCTCTTGGGTGGATACCTAGGAATGGAATTGCTGGGTTATATGGTAAGTTTATGTTTAACTTTTTAAGAAACTGCCAAACAGTTTTCCAAAGTGGCTGAACCATTTTACATTTGCATCAGTAATGTAGAGGCTTCCAGTTTCTCCATGTCTTTGCCAGCAGTTGGTATTGTCAGTTTTTTTGCTTATAGCCATTTTAGTCGGTGTGTAGTGGTATCTCATTGTGATTTTAATTTTCATTTCTCTAATGACTATTGGTGTTCTGCATCTGTATATCTTCCTTTATGAAGTGTCTGTTGAGATATTTTTTATTGGGTTGTTTCTCATCTTATACTTATTCTGAGTTCTAGATACAAGTTCTTTATCAGAAAATGATTTTACAAATATTTTCTTGTTGTCTGTAGTTTATCTTTTCATTTTATAATGGTGTCTATTTGAAGAGTAATTTATCAACTTTTTTCTCTCCCCATTTGTGGATGGTATTTCTGTTATAACTAAGAAATCTTTTCTTGACCCAAGACCACAAAGATTTTCTTCTTTATTTTCATCTAGACTTTTTAGTTTTAGCCTTTTGTTGAAGTCTTTGATCCATTTTGAATTCTTTTTGTGTACAGTATAAGGTAAAGGCATATTCCTTTTTTTTTGATGGGCACAGGGTATATGAATATCGAATTGTACTAGCACTATTTGTTTAAAAGACTACCCTTTACTCGTTGATTTCCTTTGGCACCTTTGTTGAAAATCAATTGACTTTAAATATGTGGATTTATTTCTGGTCTCCGTTTTGTTTTTTGATCTATATATTTACCCTAACACCAATACTATTTTGTCTTAGTACTAAAGCTTTTTAGTACATTCTTTTTACATTTTCTTTTCTTTTTTTTATTGAATTTACTAGGATGACATTGGTTAATAAAATTTATAGTTAATTTTGATACCCAGTAGTGTAAGTCCTCAAACTTTGTTCTTCTTTTTTCCATAATTTCTAAACACTTTGCATTTCCAGATAAATTTTAGGATCAGCTTCTCATTTTCTACAAAAGCCTGCTAGACTTTTGATAGGGATTTTCTTAAATCTATAGATCAATTTGGTGGGAGAATTGTCAACTGGTTTCATGGAGTATTAGGGATTTATTGGAAATTTACTATTTTTCTTGAGTCTCAAATCTGATCTCTTATCAGTGAATCTGCTCTCTTTCTGTGCTCTGATTCTTTAGGGTGTACAAATGCCTAATTTAGATCTTAAGGAAAAAGTGGAGCCTGAGGTTCTTGGCACTGAAGTCCAAACTTCCCCAGAGCCGGGCACAAGAATGAATATTCTGCCAAAGAGAACAAGACGTGTCAAGTCTCAGGTATCCATTTCCATGGGCCATTTTTAACAGGAATTTTAAATGCATAACTGTGCATCTGGTTATGGGAGGTCATTCAAATACTGTTATTCATTAAAATTTAAATAGACCCATCTTTAAATTACTTTTGAGATGAATGGGGAAGAAATTATAAAATTCAGTGTGATTTGATTTAGAAAGCTTTTTGGTAATTTTTGAGTAAAAGCTTTTTGGTAATTTTTGAATAGTTTTTGACAGGAATGGCAAATCAGAGGGTGGTTCTGGATATTGTAGGGTCAGTTTTCCAGACATGCTGATGAAATAGTTAGCAGAAATGAGAGAAGTAGGAAAGAGTGGTTTTGTATTTCACTTGTCATTCCTTTAAAAACCAGAGTATAAGTTTCTTAGTGTCTTGAGCATTCCAATGTAACTTCTATACTGTTCTTGTAACCTAAAATAATTTCAAAGCCTAATGGATGCATCAGAGAAGTGTCCTAATTTCTTTTGGTCTGCTCTTCCTTACTATTCCCATTTCTCTGTGGTCCCAAAAGTTGTATATTTTTTAGAATTCTTATCCGAGGATATGTTTTTATTGATTTTTAGAGAGATAGCAAGGGAGAAACATCGATGTGAGAGAAACATTGGTTGCCTCCTGTATGTGCTCCAACCGGGGCTCAAACCCGCAATCTAGGTATATGCCCCGACTGGGAATCGAGCCACCTGGCCAGAGCCCCAGAGTTGTCTTTTTTAAGGTTTTTGTTAAAGACAAGTCAGTAAGCTGGGACAGTGAGGTGCCCTTAGAACTCTGAGATGTGGTCCATTTAAATTAAACATAAGACTAGATCAAAATACAGCTTAATTGGATCTAATCGTTGACTTGAACATATCTAAAAAATAATGTGTTGAAAGAATAGGAATGGTTTACACTGGAAGTGGGAATCAGAGAAGGAAGATAGTTCATGACAAGATACTGTATCAAGAGACACTATCTAGGTGGTAAGGAGTATTGTCACTGTAGAGGTAGGCTAGTGATAACTTTATCCTGCCTTTTTAGAGCTCAGGGGATATCTCTCATACCATGTCTCCTTCCATTGTTCTGAGTTTATGCGTATTAAATAACCTCCTGATGTAATCAATTAGTATCTTGGGCATTTTTTAAAAAATATATATTTTATTGATTCTTCACAGAGAGGAAGGGAGAGGGACAGAGAGCTAGAAACATTGATGAGAGAGAAACATCGATCAGCTGCCCCCCGCACCTCCCCCAACCGGGGATGTACCCGCAACCAAGGCACATGCCCCTAACCGGAATCGAACCCGGGACCCTTCAGTCCGAAGGCCGATGCCCTATCCACTGAGCCAAACTGGCCAGGGCTCTTGGGTATTTTGATAGTAGAAAGATAGGTGTCTTGGATGGGAATATGAATTTAATGGAAATTTGTTGGAAGGTGATAGTCCCATTATAGATTAGTAAACTCTGGTTTAGTAATTAAGTGATTTTTTTTTTTTGCTATGATTGATATCAGAAGTTCTGATCACTTTGGGGTCATGATTTATTTTAAGATCTGAAACACTTGAAGAATAGTCTTGTTGACATGATGACTCAACTCTGAAAAGTTGCCCCGGGTGGCCCTGCCCATCTAATCAATTGTCAGCTTGTGATGAAATCCCTTTTGATGTTTCTTCTAAAACCATGAAAAAGTTCTGCTTACTTTTAAAGTGCATTTCTGGATATAAGAATAGGGACTGCATAGAATGCTTTTACCCATTGTAATAATTGTCATAGAGTCACATTGGTTGATATCAGGTAGAAACTAGAACCATTTCAGTGTTTGCAATTAAGAATTTCTTAAACTTATTTATTATTACTACTAGAGGCCCGGTGCATGAATTCGTGCACGGGTGGGGTCCAGCCAGCCCACCCCTGATTGGCGTGGTGGTAGTGGGGGGCTATTGGGGGTGGGGCAAGCTGGGGGGAGAGGCAAGCTGGGGGGAGGGGCCTCAGGCAGTTGGTGGACCGGCCCCACCCCCTGGTCGAACTACCTGTCGAACTCCCAGTTGAGGGGACAATTTGCATATTAGCCTTTTATTATGTAGGATATTGTCAGTCTGCCTCATTTCTAGTTTTCTTTCTCAGTAAGAAAGAAAAACGCTTTCTGGTAGAACTCTTAACTCCTTGCCCCATACATAAAACTGTTGGTATTTATTTTTAATCTTTGCCTGTCTGGATGGGCAAAGTGTACCTTTCCCTCTAAGGGTATTCTGCTTCCATCCTTTTTAGCTTCTTTAGTGATTTCATTATATCAGTAGTGAATTCTTTCTCTTCTGCCTCGTCTGCTATATATGTGTTCAAGTCTCTATCATCTTAAAAACAAAAACAGTCTTTCTAGATAGTGCCTTACTTATTGACTCTTCAGGGACAAATTTCTTGAAAAAATAGTGTATATTGTTTCACTTTTCTCAATATCTGTTTAATTTTTATATGTTGTAATCGATTGACTTTGAGCCAAATAAGTTTGCTGAAACTGCACTGTCCAAGTTACCACTGAGTTAGTAATTGTCAAATGCGGAGGCCCATTTTCATTTCTTATTCTACTTCATCTCTGGTCATGTATACATTTAATATGGTAGTTGATTCCTCTTCTTGAAATTTGATTAATTTTATTTTTCTTTGACTTTTGTGACACCTCTTTTGGTTTTCCTGTTCACACTGACCACTTTTCAGTTATCTTTGTAATATCTTCTCTGCCCCCCGCCTCCTTTTTTTGGGGGGGAGTGTTAATCCTCACTTGAGGTTACTTTTTCCATTGCTTTTCAGAGGGTGGAAGGGAGGGAGCGAGAGAGGAGAAGGAGAAGAGAGAGAGAGAGAGAGAGAGAGAGAGAGAGAGAGAGAGGGGGAGAGAAACAACATCAATGTGAGAGAGACACATCGACTGGTTGCCTCCCGGAGTGGGGAGTGAACCTGCAACATAGGTATGTGCCCTTGATGGGGAATCGAACCCATGATCCTTTGGTGCAGGGGCTGATGCTCTAACTACTTAGCACACTGGCTAGGGCTTCTCTCTTTGCTCTTTACATGCTATTTTTAGTCCTTTCCTAGCTTTATTCTCCCATGTGATCTCATCTGCCCTATGATTTCAATTAATACCTATACACTGAGGGATTCTAAATATTTCTTGAGGGTGTGTCTGCACATGTGTGTATGTGTGTGTGTGTGTGCATGCACGTGTGTACGTGTGTACACGTGCGTCTTCGTGACCATAGTTCAGGTATGCTAAATTCAATACATCTCAAACATTATCATCTTTTTTAAATCTGTTTTTTCTTTAATATTTTCTATCCTGGCGACATTGATAAGCACAGCCATCAGTAGTCTCTCAAACAAGAAACAAGTTATGAAAGTTATCCTTCTCCCCTTTCTTATCTCTATCACATCACTTGCCATACTCTAATTGTTTGTTGTTGTTTTTGTTAATCCTCACCTGAGGATATTTTTTTATGGATATTTTTTCCATTGATATTTTTAGAGAAAGTGGAAGGGAGGGAGTGGGAGGAAGAGAGAGAGAAACATCAGTGTGAGCAAGACCCATGGATTGATTGCAACCCAGGTGTGAGCCCTTCACCAGGAATTGAATTGAACTGAGATCCTTCGGTATGCAGACTGGTGGTCTAACCACTGAACAACCAGCCAGGCCTATACTCTGATTGCTTTTTCATCTCTGATTCTCTAGAGCAAGCATGTCAAACTCAAAGGCTAACATGGGCCAAATAAACAAGGTTTAAGTTTATGTGGGCTGCAAAAAAACTAAAGCTTCAATTTTCATAGAAATGTAGGTTTGTTTCAATAGAGACATGCTGAATTCAAAGGGCTGAAATGAGTAATCGTTAATATAAAATAATAGAACACTTTAATAAAAGTTAATATTTTTTTCTTGAACATTAACTTACCAGACACTGAATAACTGCACAAATTAATAAGCGTAAAACAAATAAACTTATTTATTTTGTTATCCAAAAGCTAAATATTTCCTGTTACGCACACCAAACAAGACTAATGCCAAGACTAATTGCCAAGACTAATGACGTGGCAATCGGCTGCTAAAATATTCGCTGCTAGTATTAGTGGAAAGAAATGGTGCGCCTGCGCATAAGGTGCGCAAGGTAAATGAATGCAACACGATTATAATAATCAGTCATTAGTTAACGTTGTAGTTCGTTACTAATAATTATGTATAGCAGGATATTGTAAAAATTAAGTTACAAAATTTTTATTAAAATGTTTCTTACATACTGTTATATTGGCTGGGCCGCAAAAGTATTTGTTGTGGGCCATGAGTTTGACATGCTTGTTCTTCGTGTGTTCCTTGAAAGCTGAAATTGCTGTTTGTCTTATCAAGAATTAGCAAATGATTTTTTTAAAGTACTTTTACTTATTTTAGAGAGGAAGGGAGAGGGAGAGATAGAAACATCAATGATGAGAGAGAATCATTGATTGGCTACCTCCTGTACGCCGCCCACTGGGGATCGAGCCTGCAACCCCGGTATGTGCCCTTGACTAAAATCGAACTCAGGACCCTTCAGTCCCCAGCCTGATGCTCTATCCACTGAGCCAAACTGGCTAGGGCAAGAATTAGCAAATTCTTAACACCTTTACACAGGAGAATGAAGCCCATTATGCCAATAAGTCCCATTAATGGTGACACTAAGTTTGAGCCAGATTTCTCCATTATAAAGTACTTACTGTCTTTGTAATAAAAGAGTAAATCATGATAGAGTGTGAATAACCTCTTTTCCAGTTATGATTTATCCAGTAATCTTTTTTTTTTATTTATTTTTTATTTTTTTATTATTATTTTTTTAATTAAATCTTTATTGTTCAGATTATTACATTTGTTCCTCTTTTTTCCCCCCATAACTCCCCTCCTCCCAGTTCCCGCCCCACCCTCTGCCCTCACTCCCCACCCACTGTCCTCATCCATAGGTGCACGATTTTTGTCCAGTCTCTTCCCACATCTCCCACACCC